AGCGCCCCCCCGTGTCACGCACGCGCCAGCACTCCGCTGGTGGCACAATCCACCCCTCCCTGCAGGCTCCAGGGGGGTCCCGGGGGTCTCGTCCCCCCCGTCCCCATCCCCGTCCCCATCATGGCCGCCGTCCCCTCGTCCTTGGGCTCGCAGCACCGACTGTCCRCTTGGGGCTCGCGGCCGCAGCGGTCACCGCCGGCTCCTCCGTCCCCTCCGGCCGTGGCCGCGGTGGCCGCGGTGGCCGAATCCTCGGGCAGGAAGGACACGTCGGGGGTTTTGCAGCTGCTGTCCACCGTCTGCGAGTCGGGGGTCAGCTCCCGCTCGGGGGGGACGGATTTTGGGGTGGCGGCGGCCGCAGGGGCGGATTTGGGGGTGACCGGCGTGGTTGTTGTCGTCATCGGAGGGGGGCTGGGCGGTTTTGGGGTTCCCCCCGCGGATTTTTCCGAGCCGGACCAGGCGGGTTCGGGTTTTTGGGGTGGGCGTAGCGGGGGCGTGGCGGCGCTCTGGCTGTCGGCTTTGGATTTTTTCAGAGCGCCTTTGGTTTTCGCTTTTCTCTTTTTCCTCGTTTCCCCCTTGGCTTTCACCTTCACCTTCTTGACCGCTCCCTTGGYTTTGGCCGTTTTGGCCTTGCGGGGTTTGACCGCCGCCCCGTCGCGGGCCGGACCCTCCGTTTTGGGGTTTTTCTCCGTTTTTTCCTCGGCTTTCAGGAATGGCGCGCGGCTCTCGGCGTCGCGGGCGAATTTCACCGCGATGCCTCCGTCCTTGCCGGGGGCCGTGGTGGAGCTGACCCCTTCCCTGATCAGCACGGACACTTTGGACTGCAGCTTCACCTTCCGTCCTCCTCCTCCTCCGGAGCTTTTTTGGGCGGGGGGCGCGGCGCCGTCGCCGTCCTTGTGCCCCCCGCCCGTTTTTCCTTTCCGCCCGCTTTTTTCCCGTTGTTTCTCCTTGGATTTCGCCCCGTCCGGCGCGGGGGTCTCGGGGTACTCTTTGAATTTTTTCTTGTATTTATCCCTCCCCGCCGGACGCTCCTCGGCGCGGCCGCGTTTGCGCTCTTTGTCCTTTTTCTCGTCGGCCGGAGCGGCCGGAGCGGGCGGCCGCAGCTCCGTTTTTCTCGGCGGTGCCGCCGTGGTCACCTCGGGGTGTTCACGATCCGAAAACCCCTCGAAACTCAACCCCTCGGAATCGTAGAGCACCTCCCGCTTGGGCTCGGGCGTGGCGGCGCGCCGGCTGACAGTGATGGTCCTCTTGATGGCGAACAGGTCGGAATCGTTGAGCTCCTGCACGGACGGCGGCACCACGGCGCGCGGTTCCCTCCTGCGGCCGGAGCCCGAGC